CTGTTTTAGCTTCCCTATAAATTCCACACAAATTCAATATAATTCCCGAATTCCAATCATGTCCCCTCAATTTCCCGGTAATTCCATATACTTTCCCTATAACTCCCGCCTGCACCAACTAATGATTATGGGCGTCAGTTATACTCGGTCTTATACGGTTAGCCGAAATTCCTATATTACACGTAGAGGGGGTGGGGCTACAGGAAAACCACACCCATGGACTTCGAAGGCCTATAGGAGTCCTGGGGAGCCACGGGACGAGGCACGGGAGGAGGCACGGGAGGAGGTTCTCGGCGAGGCGCAACTGCAGGAGAGCAACCCGAGCTCCCCCACCCCTCGCCCCACATGATTTTCATTGCTGGGGGTTACCGTCCAAAGGTTCGGGATTACCGCCCAGAATTAACGGACATCCCAGGGACCTCCCGGGGACCCAGTTCCAGGTAACTTTCCCCGATACTTTCCCGATAATTATACTGCTTAGAACAAACACAACGAATTACTGGGAAGGCCCCCACCTCCCGGGGCCCCACCTCCCGGGACCTCCCGGGAATATTTTCCCTCTAATGCCTGGACGGTAATTCCCGTTAGTTCGGGACTTCCCAAGATCTCCCACAACCCGGAGATGGAGGGCGAATACGGAGGTGTTCCTCCTCCTCCTCCTCCTCCTCCTCCTCCTCCTCCTGTATGCGAACGCGCCCGCTGGATCCTTGGAGTCGGAAAGTAACAGATAAACGGGATACCAGACAATCAACGGGAATCCCAAACAATTAACGGGAACAATAAGAAAACACAAAAAAGATATGCAAAAGAAAAATATACAAAGAAAAAACAAACAAACGTCCCGGAAGACAAGACACTTACGGGAAGACAGAAAGTTAAAAGGAATACTATGAATTGACGGGAAGATAGGGAAGAAGATAAGGGAAGGGAATTGAAAGGGAAAATGAATCAGCTCAAAACACCTACCCCCCCCCCCCCCCCAAGTAACACAACGGGCGCGCTCAACGCGCATTATGGCACGTCGTCGCACCACCTCAGCCGCGCAGCGCGCGCGGTGCGACCGCGCCACTGAACGGCCGGAGCCTGCCGTGCACATGACACCGCTTGCTTTCGTCGCGGAGTCGGTGAACCTTCCGCCGTTCCACGGGAACTCTGTTGGAGGGCTGGGCACAGCGGCAATCATGCAGCGACAGCTTGCAACCGACGTGCTTCGTGCTCTGCTCGGCGCTGAGCATTCCGACGTCGTCTCCATCGACGTCAGCGCGCGCCGCCCTTCGCCCGCGCCATCTGTTCGCACGCGTGAGAATGTCGATCTCCAACCCGCGCGCGCAAGCCGCGCGCCCCAGGTCGCGGAGCGAATGCTCTCGTCGTCGCTGAGTTGGGCGCCAGAAACAACGCGCCATCGGCAAACCGCAGATAGATCCGATGAGTAGCTCCCGCACGTTCCATGTTCATTGAGAACCCCTTGATCAAAACGCACTCTTAAATGCCCGGGGCACGTGCTAGGGCGCTACTCGGATCAGGCAGGAAATGAATAGGTCACCTTGCTTGACGCCGCGCTCGATGTTGAAGTCTCTTATGTCGAAACCGGCCTTCGCCGCGGCCGTCTGCTCGCTGCGATACTTTCGCGGCAGGGCGATGCGTGGCCTTGGACAGTTCTGCCCCCGCAGTTCATCCCATAATCACGGATGGTCGACGCAGTCGAAAGCTTTCGAAGGCCATCGCCACTGCCCGCGCATTGAGCTGCCACTCCTATAATTGCTCGAACAGCATTGTCGCCGTGAAGAGGTGGTCTGCTGCGCAGAAGCTCTCGCGAAAGCCAACTTGGTCTGGCGATTGTTAGGAAAAGAAGACGTCTTCAGACGGCTGCGGAGTAGTCGGGGCACGAGCTCGCGGGGCAGCGGCACAATTGCGATTAGCCTGCAAGGGTTTGGCTGTTGCGGGCAACCGGACTGTAAGATGACGCTGATTGCGACGGGCCTCCATTGGTCTGGGCGTGTCTGTTCTGGCACTAAAACATCGCTGAACAGCTTCAGCAGGTGCTGCTCGGCGGCGACGCCACCTGCGTTCAGGATCTCCGCGGTGAGTCCAGCCGCGCCCATGCGCTTCCAACATTTGAATTGCTTCACTGCTTGATGACGTTCCTCTTCCGCGAATAGCGGGATGCTCTGTTGCGCATTGCCTATCGTTGCGTCTTGTTCGTTGGGGGATACGTTTGCCGAGAGCTGTTCTGGCGGCTGCGTCGATGCGCGGCGCGCGCATGCGCTGCCTCATGACAACCCCCAGCTGCCGCCTGGCATCGACGTCGTCGCATGCGGCATTAGTCTGTTGGTGTTGTGCATGGTGCGTCGGTCGCTGGCAGTCTGCACGCGAGGTGATCTCGCAAGTGGTGCTGGACACCCAAGTCGTTGATTCGCAGAGCCCGCTGGCGAACGTGCTTGCGCCGTCGTTTCCGCCGGCGGTTGCTTCGCGCTGCCCGCAAGCATCCAGAGGCGCGCGGCCTGGCGGTCGGAGCCAAGGCCGGGGCGCGTCGTGGCAACGGCATCGAGCACTGAATGCCGAGCCCGCTGGTCCGCGAGGGTACAATCGATCTGTGACCGATTACGGTTGGAACCCGCGCGCGCGCGAAGACATTCTCCGGGCGCCTGTAGAATATGGCACTCGCGATGCGCAGCTTGCGCGCGCCAACCCACGATCGTAACCATGCACCGCAACAGTTGCATTCGCCCACCTTCGCAGATTCCGAAAACGCGCTTCTCCCAGCCCGCGGCGCTCCCATTGTCGTCGTCGTTGCGGCACCGTCTGCCAACCTCCGCGTTGAGCTCACCAAATAATGTATCAATCACTGCGTCGGTGGTGTGGCTACGGGCATTTGTTGGATACTCGCCACAGAATAGTCACTGATTAGCGGTGGAGCTGTTGTAAACTTGTGGTCTGCGTCGCCGTGTGATCGCGATGTGTTTGTCGAGGTATGATGGTGTATGTCCTTTGCTTGATTCTGTTGGGCGGGGATGCGACTGTCGGCAGCGTCCGCGCACCAACCCCGCCAAGTGCCAATGCTGCGTTGAACTGCGCGTTAGTGGAGGCTATAGGCAGGAAGGACCCTGAGCCTGCTCCAGTCCTTCACACGATCCCCCCTCTCGTGAGATCCACGAATCGAAAGCTTCGCTCGGGTCCTGGGGGGGCGGCCTCGCGTCAGCTTTCCTGCTCAAATGCACCCTGGAGCAGCCTCTGCAAGGCTGTCCAGAGACCACCTGTGGCTTCCGGGGAGTATGCACACACTTCGACGCCGCCGTGCGGGATGGGAGCTCACGACGTGCCCCCTGGACTGCCCGGTGATTCCCGACGGATGGGGTGCGTGTCGGGCAATCCGAGACCGTCCCTCGTCGGCTTTCCGCTCATCTCTCGTCCCCCGCCCCCCTCTTCCGTCCCCCGCCCCCCTCCTCCGTCCCCCTCATCCCTCGTCCCCCGCCCCCTCCCTGTTCTTCCTCATCTGCTCCCCTCCCTCCTCCTCTCGTTAGGTCGGGCGACATGCGCAAAGCGCTCAGATGGTTTGTTTGTTGTGTTGTTGTTTTTCCTGTTTGTAAGTTTCGTTTGTACGTCAGAGTGAAGGCAAACGATTTAAATGAGCCGGATTTCCGACAAGATGTAGAAATCGGCTGATTTAAGAAAACCGAGTGTATGATTGATGACTTCGTTGAACCGCATCCAAGCAAAAACACATGTTTAACGAATTTTCCTTCAATCAAAGAAGAATGTGTTTTACGTGAGTGAGGCATTTGGTTTGTTATGCAAATTACATATGATAGTCAACAAAGACTCATGGTGTGTTTGAGGAGTTGTTTATTTTGTTTACGCTTCTTAATTAATTTCGGCACAAAATGTGCATATATATATATATATATATAGGTGCGCTCGACCACCCCAAAAGGGTTCTTGGGTTTCCAAAGAGACATGTGTTGGTAATTGTTTTATGAATTCGATGTTTGTTTTCGTTCTTAACGTTGTTCCGGCAATTTCGTGACATAGCGATTATTTGTTATGTTCCCCTATGTCCCCCTACAGGCGGATGAGAAATGCCAAGAAAATGATCCAACAACAATTCAAAAATAGTCCAAAAATAGTCCCCATATGTTTATGACTATTTTTGATTTCGAATATTCCGCCGGTAGAGGGACAGGCCCAACTTAATCCTCGCCCTCCCCTCCGACGCCTCCTTTCATTCCTCCTCGTCCTGCCTTCGTCGCCCTCCGTCCTCGTCCTCCCCTCTTCGGGGAACTCCCTGGACCTCTCCCAGGGTGCAATCTGACCACAGGGTTTCGAGGCGAACCCGCCAGTAAAATCGGAGAACAGCCTCTGCGAGAAAAACCCTGTCCGCTTGCGGCGGCAGCACGAACTGCTGCTCGCAGCTGCTGCAGCGCTGCGCGCAGCTTCTGGGGCAGCGCGGCGACGAGGGTCGCCCATGGGGCCCCACGAGGAGAAAACGAGGGCAGGGTAGAGATAGGGGTACCTTTTCCTCCTCTGACTCCTCTTCCCCCTACCCTCCTCCTCGCGCTCCTCTTCCTGCTCCTCCTCCTCCTCCTCCTCCTCCTCCCCCTCCTCCTCCTCCGCCTCATCCTCCTCCTCCTGCTCCTGCTCCTGCTCCTGCTCCTGCTCCTCCTCCAGCTCCTCCTTTTCCTCCTCCTCCCTCCTCCTACCTCCTCCTCCTCCTCCTCCTCCTCCTCCTCCTCCTCCTTCCTTTCCCACCCCATTCCTCCTCCCCTCCCCCTCGTCCTCCGCACCCCCTGCTCATCCGCTCCCACCTCAGGAGCACCCCCCCGCGGTGCCCAGACTCCAGTGTGCCACTGGTGCCGCGGGCCTCGGCCGGCCGCCGGGGTGCGTGCCAGTCTCTTCTGCGCTCATCTGGCGCTGCCCAGTCGCACTCACGTCCCAGGAGGAGGAGGAGGAGGAGGAGGAGGAGCTGGAGGAGGAGGAGGAGGAGGAGGAAAAGGAGGAGCTGGAGGAGGACAAAGAGGAAAAATAAGAAGAGGGATAGACAGCGAGACGTTTACAGACGGAGCACATAGGAATAGGAGGAAGACGAGGTGGAGGTCGCCTGATCCTCTCGCGGTTGTAGTAGGTTGCGTTGGTCCACCAGTCGGCCTTCGACTTTACATACCTTCGGGGCTGACGCGAGACCGCAGGAGGTTAGGGAGGAGCAGGAGCCAAGGGGCGGCCAGAAATCAGATTGGGCCCTTGTATTCAGCTTTCTCCTCGTCCATCTCCGTCTCCCTACCTCCCTCCTCGCGCCTCCTGTCTCCCCCCTCCCTCCCTCCTCCATCATGCGGCATTCCTCCCCCCTCCCCACCCTCCGCCCCCGACAGCGACGACGGCGACGACGACGACGACGAGGACGAGGACGACGACGGCGGACAACGACGGCGGCCGCGGCGGCGGCGGCGGCCGCTTGCGGCGAGCGGCGGCGGCGAGCAGCCCCCCGGGGCGGGGATTGGCGGCGCGCACAAGGGGGTAGGGGGAGGGGGGAGGGCTTCTTAGAAGCAGGCTGCCTCCTAGAAGCAGCGAGCCTTACGCTTGCAGAGAAGGCCCGCGCCTTCTTAGAAGCAGGGGTGCTTCTAAGAAGCCCTCCCCCCTCCCCCTAACCCCCCTCGGCGCGCCGCCAGGGGGACCGCAGGATCATGTTCTCGATGGGCGCCGGCAGGCCGGGCACCTCCCGGGCGCGGGGGCGGCGGCGGCCGCTCGCAGGGGCGCCGCGCGGCGCGCGGCGGCTCGGGCCACCCACGAGGAGGGCAGCGCAGGCGAGAAGGGCGACGACGACGACGACGGCGACGGCGACGGCGGGCGACGACGACGACGACGACGACGACGGCGGGCGACAACGGCGACGACGATGGCCGACGACGACGGCGACGACGGCGACGACGACGACGACGACGACGGCGGACGACGACGACGGCGGACAACGACGACAATGACAACGACGACGAGGACAACGAGGGCGACGACGACGACAACGACGAGGACGACGACGACGACGACGACGACGACGACGAAGAGGGCGACGACGAGGGCGACGACGACGACGGCCGGGAGCTGGCGGTGCGCACGCGAAGGGGAAGGGGGGGGCGCGAGGGTGGCGCCCTTCTGAATAAACGGGGGGGGCGTCTGAGAAGGCCTGCGGCTTCTTCGAAGCACTTCCAGCCTCCTCCTCCTCCTCCTCTTCCTCCTCCTCCTCCTCCTCTTCCTCCCTCCTCCTCCTTCTCCTCCCCCCTCACCCTCCCCTCCTCCTCCTCCTTCTCCTCCTGCTCCTCCTCCTCCTCTCCCCCCTCCCCCTCCTCCTCCTCCTCCTCCTCCTCCTCCTCCTCCTCCTCCTCCTCCTCCGCCGCGGAACCTGACTGCTCCAACCCAGCAAGGCGAGCCACGCAGCCGATGCAGTGCGGTCGCTGAGAGGGACGAGACCCCAGCACCACCTCCAACCCCAGCGACGGCAGAAGAAAGAGGCGAGCACGACACCGACCAACACGACGCGCAGCACCCACCGCAGCAGCACCACCTTGACCAGCACACCGGCTCGCAACACCAATACGACCAGCACGACGAGCAGTGTGACTGGCATGGACGATACAGCTACTGCTACCTCCCCTGGAAGGCATGTCGTGCAGGGTGCCCAGCACACGCGTCCTGGGGGCGCTGCACGGGTTGCTGAGAATCTCGGGAGTGGATCGCGGACATCGCAGAGGGCGTGCTCGGCCCCAGAGCTCCACGCGCCTCCGCAAGACGCGCGTGGAGAGATGGGCGGCCCCCAGGGGCGCGGCCCACCCGAGCCGAGCCGCGGCCCGTGCGCGGCCCGCGCAGAGCGGACTGCTCCAACCCAGCAAGATGACGCTGTTGCGGGGCGCAGTGCTGTCGCGAGCGGGGGCGTGACCGAGGAGAGAAGGAGGAGTTGGGTGCTACGACTCCTCGGCGCGGATACTAGCCAGCAACACAACGGTGAGCAGCAGCACAACATCGACCAGCACGACGTGCAGCACCCACGGCAGCAGCACCTCCAAGACCAGCACGTCAGCAGCAGCACCACTATGACCAGCACGACGAGCAGTGGGGCTACACTGGACGTGTCAGCTACTGCCACCTCCCCTGGAAGACATGTCGCGCAGGGTGCCCAGCAAGCGCGTGCAGGGGGTGCTGCACGGGATGCCGAGGATCTCGGGGGTGGACCGTGTCCGACACAGAGGGCACGCTCGGCCCCAAAGCTCCACGCGCCTGCGCAGGACGCGCGTGGAGAGGTGGGCGGCCCCCAGGGGCGCGGCCTACCCGAGCCGCAGCCCGTGCGGGGCCCGCGCGTAGCGGCCGCGCGGGGCGGCCGCCGCGGAGA